AGAGAGTATGTCAGTTCGTTTTTGCATTGCTGTAAAGAATGTGTTGGTGGGTGGGGGTGTGTGTGTGTGTGTGTAGAGAGAATGTCAGTTCGTTTTTGCATTGCTGTAAAGAATGTGTTGGTGCACAGTTCTCCAGGCTGTACAGGAAGCCTAGTTGCCAGCATCTGCCTCTGGTGAAGGCTTCTGGAAACCTAGAATCATGCTGGAATTACAGGCATGAGCCACCATGCCTGGTTGTCTTCTTAAAAGTGAACAAAAGCAAGATATTTATACTTACATTTATACTTGTATTTATATTCAGTAGGTGTTTACTAAATACCTAGTTGGTATTAAGCCTCTCCTCAACTCATCAAATATATACCAACAGAATAAGATCTCCAGAGGATTATGCCACATGACGTGTGTGTATTTAGTGCCACCAGTGACGGAGCTGCAAGCAGCTCTGGGTGTTTTGTCTCTGGGCAGAGATCCCTCTGATGAGGAGAGAGAAGTCTTCTTAGAGTGAGCAGTTTTGAAAATGGGTAGAATTTCTTTCTTTTCTTTTTTTGAGACGGAGTTTCACTCTTGTTGCCCACGCTGGAGTACAATGGCATAATCTCAGCTCACCGCAACCTCCGCCTCCCAGGTTCAAGTGATTCTCCAGCCTCAGCCTCCCGAGTAGCTGGGATTACTGGCGTGCACCACCACACCCAGCTAATTTTGTATTTTTAGTAGAGACAGGGTTTCTCCATGTTGGTCAGGCTGGTCTCGAACTCCCAACCTCAGGTGATCTGCCCTCCTCGGCCTCCCAAAGTGCTAGAATTACAGGTGTGAGCCACCGTGCCTGGTGAGAATGGGTAGAATTTCAGTGAGTGATGTAACAGCAGTGGGCTCGGGAAGGGAAAGATGCCAGAAATGGTGGGACAATTCCCCGAAGCAGATGTACCTGTGCCTGGAACTGCCCCCAAACAGGTGGCCAGCAGTTTGAAGGGCCACCCAAGGGAGTGTCCATTTCGAAGGGGATCGACTTGGTGTGTAGGGTATGGTAGCACGAATTTCTGAGTGGAAACCACGAATGCTTGAAGTTAACAAGTGATGGAAGCTGGGCAGTATATTCAGGCCCCAGCAAGGAAGCTGCCCAGTTGGAAGGTGGTGGGGAGGTCCGTCATGGAGGACTCATTGTGGCACACCCAGACAGGCAGCAAAAGAAGTTCCAGCCTCCCCTTCTGGTAGCAATGGCTGCCACACACACTGCTGCCTGGTCAAAAAGGCCTCAGGAATGAGACAGAACTAAGCCTCGAAGCAGAAAGCCCTCAGTTCCAACATAGAAACAGGACTGTGGGAGGCAGGGACCGATGAGCAGAGTCAGTCTTAGTACTGACACCACCCAACAGCTAGCTAGGTGCTTAGCCACTGCATAAGTCTGCTCTGCCAACTGAGACACAGGCATATCTCCACAAATGCCTATTTTCTGTGCCTGACACTAGGGTAATTAGAAATCTTATATGGGAGCTTTTCTATTCTTTTTTTTTTTTTCTGAGACAGAGTTTCAGTCTGTCACCCATGCTGGAGTGTAGTGGCGTGATCCTGGCTCACGGCAACCTCTGCCTCCTGGGTTCTAGCGATTCTCCTGCTTCAGCCTCCCAAGTAGCTGGGACTACAGGCACGGGCCACCATGCCCAGCCAATTTTTGTATTTTCAGTAGAGACGGGGTTTTACCATGTTGGTCACACTCCTGATCTCAAACTCCTGACCTTGTGATCCGTCCACCTCGGCCTGCCAAAGCGCTGGGATTACAGGCGTGAGCCTCTGTGTGCAGTCTATACGGGAGTTTTTCAAGCACTTTTCCCACTTCAGTTTTTTTAGGCCATCCAAACCAGTTTATTTTAGGCTCCAAACAACCTCATTAATTGAAATTATTTTAGTCAACAGTTGAAGATGGCTATTATTTCCCTCTCAACACACCAACTTCCCACATTATGAATCCAGCTGCAGCAGCTGCAGGACAGTTAGAAACATATTACATACAAGTAAACTGCTGCTCAGTTATAAAGCTTCCTGTCACATATTGTCTGGTATCAGAAATGATTCTGTGCACGATCTAATATCTACGGGGGTGGAGGGGGAAGTCGTCAGTTAGCCAAAAGACTCCGATAGAAACCATTTATGTGAGGTCAGATTGACTGGCGTAGAGAGCTGTGCAGACGGTGGGGGAGAACTTCTCGTTGTTTGTGCTGTAATGCTACCTTTCATTGGCTTTCAAGGCTTCCAGAGCCGGCACCCGCAGGCTCCAACCACTCACTAGGGGAAAACAAGAGCTTACCTGCTGCTACTTCCCTGAAGTCTGATTCCGAATTGTCAACTGCTCCAGCCTCTAAACAGTACTACTTGAAACAATCAAGATATCTTCCAGGTAAGTAGAGCAAAGAAAATGTTTACTGCTAACTGGAATATAGATAGGTCAGGTTAAAGTGTCTTAGAATCTCTGAAGAAAGGGCAGCAGTGAAGTAAAAAGTCTAACACTAAGGGCTGGGCGCGGTGGCTCACGCCTATAATTCCAGCACTTTGGGAGGCTGAGGCGGCTGGATCACCTGAGGTCAGGAGTTCAAGACCAGCCTGGCCAACATAGTGAAACCTCGTTTCTACTAAAAACACAAAAATTAGCTGGGCGTGGTGGCAGGTGCCTGTAATCCCAGCTACTTGGGAGGCTGGGGGAAGGAGAATTGCTTGAACTTGAGAAGCAGAGGTTGCAGTGAGCCGAGATTGTGACACCTGGGTGACAGAGCGAGACTCCATCTCAAAAAAAAAAAAAAATTACAAATTTGACTCAATTACAAATAATTGTTTGGAATGTAAACTTGAGCCTTACTGTCACCTATTGGCTTCATTGTTTTCAAGAGGATCCCTCTTAAGATTTAAAACAAGAGTTGGGCTCAGTTCAGTCACTTGAACGAACATTTATTGAGCACCTATTGTGAACCAGCAGCTATGCAGAGGATAGAAACCTGAATAAGAAGCAATCTTTGGCTGGGCGCAGTGGCTCACACCTGTAATCCCAGCACTTTGGGAGGCCAAGCCTGGTGGATCACCTGAGGTCAGGAGTTCGAGACCAGCCTGGCCAATAGATGAAACCTCTTCTCTACTAAAAATACAAAAAATTAGCTGGGCGTGGTGGCAAACACCTATAATCCCAGCTACTTGGTAGGCTGAGGCAGGAGAATCACTTGAACCCAGAAGGCAGAGGTTGCATTGAGCAGAGATCGTGCCATTGCACTCCAGCCTGGACAACAAGCAAAACTCTGTCTCAAAAAATAAAAATAAAAGAAGCAATCCTTGACATTTATTTATGATCCAAGTTATTTTTGTAATTGAGTATCTTCAGGAATGAAAAATACTAATATATGAGCCAGGCGCGGTGGCTCACGCCTATAATCCCAGCACTTTGGGAGGCCAAGGCGGGTGGATCACCTGAAGCTAGGAGTTTGAGACCAAACTGGCCAACATGATGAAACCCCATCTTTACTAAAAATACAAAAATTAGGCCGGGCGAGGTGGCTCACGCCTATAATCCCAGCACTTTGGGAGGCCGAGGCGGGTGGATCACGAGGTCAAGAGATCGAGACCATCCTGGTCAACATGGTGAAACCCCGTCTCTACTAAAAATACAAAAATTAGCTGGGCATGGTGGCAAGTGCCTGTAGTCCCAGCTACTCGGGAGGCTGAGGCAGGAGAATTGCTTGAACCCAGGAGGC